AGAAAAGACAAGCCAAAAGAGAACTAGAATTAAACATCTTACAGCTATTTAAAGAAGAAGGTGAAGAATACAGGAAAAACTTAAAACAGCAGCTTGTTGAGCTTAAACATAATTATGAAAAACCCAAAGATGGTCAAATGAACCCTGCTGGCTTATATCCAGCCCTGACAGGAGTCCTGAATGTTACAGGTGATTTCGGATACAGGAATGATGATCAATTTATGGACTTTAGACAAAGTAACCCTGACCCACCGCAAAAGAATGAGCCGGAAGCTCTATCAGATAAATCATCAACAGTGCACGCACCACTATCAACAGTAGTTCAAACACCAGCTCCACCCAGAGGTGCACCACAGACAAGCGCAAGCTCTACAGACAGTAGCGCGATTAATAAGCACTCAAAAAGCATGCAACCAACGACGTCATATACAAATGCGAATGGCTACAAGCCAGCTGGCAGATATGAGGAAATTGATCTTGGGGACTGTATACAGATGGATGACCAAGGACGGTGAACATCAGACGGACTAAGCACATGGCCGCCCAGACCAGTGAACTGACCACTTCATGACCAATTCAAAGGACTGCTGAGCTCAAGGACAAGTGATGCCTGAACTAAAAGCGCTTATGGGATGTTGAAAAATCTAAAAGATTCAAGGGAAATGAAACCGAACCGGGTTAGAATGTGTGAGACATTATGAGCGAGTATGAATAAGAGAGTGAGTATGAATGACAATGTGAGCATAAGAGTGCGTGGATGAGCACAAGCATTAAGCGACAAATACTTTTATTATGATTAGTATTTCAATCACACGATCACTCTGATTGTATGTGCGTTATGGACATTTCCTCATCATTTGTATTCAAGATTATGTATCAGTGTTGAAGTATTAGCTATTATCATGAATATCTATGATTTGGGTCACTATGGATCCATGATTGTATTACATTTGTGCCAGATTATGGGATACTGGCGGTCGCCCATGGCGAGCGGGGACCATAAGGTAGTTTTTTCGCTAGAAATAACACAAAGCAACAAAAAGGCCAACAGGGTTTTTCAATCTTATACAAATGGAAGAACAATCATGGAAGCAATGACCAAGTGTCATTGTATTGGAATTATTATATTAGTTACAGTTACTCATGAAAACATTGTTTACCCCCACTATTCATTTATTTCACTTTAAGTGACCTTTATATGTATTTCTAAGGTTTATACACAGAATTATGTTCACAGGAAGCCATGTAAACTTAGGACAGCAATTAACAAAAACACCTGCTAAGGTTAATTAGGATTCCACTTGAAAGCGGAATAGGGGGGATTATGTAAGAGCGGAAAGTTGTTTTTGCGAAAGGATTTTGGCGCCTCTCTAGGTCAAACTGACCTGACTCATTTCCTTCCATTTGCATGCAAAGCACAAATGGAACCAAAAACTGACTTGGAAAGGACAGGTGTTTGGACAGATGAGATCAACAATCTGACATAAATTGTCCTATTCAGCAATTCTGAAATGGAGCAGATGTTGAGTTCATGAGGTCTCAAATATTTTAAAGGTCGTCCAATACACACTTAGTATAAGGCACGCCAGAATCTTTACGCAAATCAAGAGTAGCAACACCATTGGTTGAAACTCTCCAACTCACATCAGTAAAGATGAGAGTGCATAAAAAAGGGTGATGTTAAGAATACGGGGAGATTTTTTGTTGAGACTTTGGAAGATTTTTGAGTATTGAACTGATGAAACTGCAATGAGGAATCCGTGGTAGTGTAATAAATCTTCGGCTTGTCTATGGCCTAGCAGCAAGAACTCCGTCTCCGTGCGTTATTTCTTTTACTTATATATTTAAGAGTTTAGCCACCTTTCAATTCTCCAATAGACTCGGCAGGAACTTTAATGTTTTTGATTGTTGATTCAATGTTGCATAACTGTGTTTTTGTGTTTAATGATGTAAAGCACTTTGAAATGCCTTGCTCCTGAAATGTGTTATACAAAAATAATTTGATTAATTAAATAAATTACTGGTATAAACATTCTTTCTTTTGAAATCCTCCACTTGCACTTCTGTAACTCCCTCAGTATCATGTGGGAGCTCTCAAACACAAAAATACACACTCAATCAACTCACCACACTCGAGCACCAGCTGTGGCAGTCTGTTGATAGTATCCATAGCAACTGTCCTCTTCTGGTCCCGGTCCTTTTCATCCAGGTGACTGAGAAGGGGCGATATGAAGGGATAATTAAAGCTGGTCCCTCTGTTGCTGACGGCCAGCTGTGGTTGAAGCTGCTGCAACTGATGATGATGATAGTGGTGCTGCTGGTGATGGAGATGATAAACTTGATGAAAGTGTGATAAGTCATTGGGGGCATGGCCTGAGTGCCGGTTGGCGAGTCCATTCATCTCCCCAACTCCGCTCCCTCGAGCCGACCCGGCCCCTTTCTGGCAGATGCAAGAGCAGCGGAGATGCAGGCGAATCCAAGCACTCCAGCGTAACAGCCGGCGCCATGCCTTCCGACCCAGGTGGGCCAGGTAGCGGATGATCTCCTCGTAGCAACTTCCAGGCTGACTGTCGCTGGCCAGTGTGGAAGCTGATTGGTGGAGCTGCTGGGCGCGCTGCTCTGATTTCATTAAGGCATGTTCTCTCTGTTTTGTTTCAGAAAACTGGGTAGCGATGACAACCAGGCACAGGTTGATCATAAAGAAGGAGCCAACCTGCACAGTAAAAAAGCCTGTGTTAATTTAACGCGCACTATGGCTGTAGTGAGACAATAACCTCACAATATGATACGATACACAATATTCTGCTCACTATACAATATATATCACGATATTCGGCAAATGTTATGTTTCGATACGCTTTTGAGATTTTCTGAAATATTTTAGAGGGACAGAGTGATTTTGGTGACATTTTCTGACTATTCTATAGACTTGGATTGTATTAACTTAACAATTTAACTGAAAACTGATTAAAATCACCAACTATACAATACCTGGCTCTGATTGGACAGAGACTTAGAGTCTACAGCTCAACAAAATTAATCAAAGATGCAGTGAGAAAATTAGTTTCTGTCATTTAATTCATGTGAATTTGACATAAAACTGAAAGTTTCAACAGTGATCCGGGAGCCGAGTGGGGAGATTATCAGCCTCTGTAGACTCTCAATATGCAAATGATTGCACTTATTTTATTCTGTTGGACATACTGGGATTGCATTTTGGACCTTGATTCACAGAAAAACATAAAAACAGATTTCAAAAATTGTTTTCATTGTGAAACCCTCAAATATTCATAACAAATGGTTTTTATAATCTAGGATGAGAATATATACTGTACATTGCTTAAACTGATGTAAAAAGTTGAAAGCAACATAGTTTTACAACATTATTAGCATGAAAATGCAACCACTAAGCTAAAAACAAATTAATAAGTGGATGCCACAGATTGTTCCAATATCCAAACTGTGCATTAATTTTGCGATCTCACTGCTTTTGCCGCTACTCCATTCCTGCTTATATTGGTGTTAAATTTGTTAAAAGTAATACCTACTCCTAAGGAGAGAGATCAATCAACTTGACAGTCATGTTTTTGGACTGTGGGAGGAAGCCGGAGTGCCTGGAGAGAACCCACGCATGCACTGAGAGTACATCCAAATGCCACACCCAGACCAGGAGTCAAACCCAGGACCTTCTTGCTGCTAGGCAGCAGTGCTACCAACTGGCTATTTGGCTATTCAATACATTTGACTCAAATCGAATTAAGAAGGTGAATCTTTTGTTTTGTGGGTAATTTCACACAAATTGCACAGATTTCTCAAGATGACAACTTGTGCGAGGGAATTAAAAAGAAATCCCCACATCCTGTTTTAGGCTTAAAATTAGCACACTCTAAAAAGAAATGAGTTGTGAACCAACTTAATTGAATTGCTTAATTTGGTAACAAGTAATTAAATTAAGCTTATCCAACTCAATTTAATAAAATTTCTTTTAAACTGAATTCATTAAGTCTGTTAAAATGATAAATTTAAAGGGATCCTCGATTAGTTATAAAAATAGACCTTATTTAGGAAATATTTATTTTAGATGTAAAAATAATACATATACATAATATATAATTTTTAATAAAATATTTTCACAGGAATGTTGCCTTGTTGTTCACACTGCAATGCATTCTGGGTAAATGACGTGTAATGGTCCAACTACCTGACTCCCTCCATTCAAAACAGTGATGAGTAACGTTATTAAGCCTTTTTAATTTGAACTGGAGCGCATTGAAACCAATCAGAATATAGAAAAAACAAGAGAATAACATTGATGAAGAGGACCAAACAGAGGAAGAGGAGGGTGATTCTCTGAATTTGGTACATTTTGGGGTCTCGGGTTATATACCACAATATACACCACAAAAAATTGTGTTTTTGAACACTGCATCCATTGAAGGACTCTTTGAACCTCCAAGAAAATATGTTTCCCCACTTTATGCATGAAATCCCAAACATGATTATGAATTTCTTTGTTATTTAGGTTGCTTTAAATTCAACCCCATAACATGACAATTTCATTCCACTAAGAGTATATAATTCTATAACATAATTAAACTAATTGTTCCAGTTCCTTTGTATTGGTAAGAGAATAAAATAATTAACTTTTGGCTCGTTATATTCTCTTGTGCTCCCGGATTCAATGATTCCATGCGTGGAAACAAAAGCCACATAGAGATGACAGTAAATGCTCCACATCCTACATTTTCAGAGTTTATCCTAACATTTAAATCATAAATTGACATTGACAACACAGACACTTCAAACACACTAAAACAGACATTCATTTACCTGAGAAAGGCTCATTTACCTGAGAAGAAAGAAAAAGAAAAGCAAAGACGTCTTTGGAGAAATTCCAAAGAGCAAACTCTGATTCGTTACTCCTGTGTACAAACTTTTATAGTAAAGGCGTATTTTTGTCTTTAATTTATTCAAATAAGGCGCACCTTTGCTCATCCAACCAGGAGCTGTCTTGGACCCTCTTTAAAGTTGGGTGATTCTTTTTTTGCGGCAACATTCCATGTCCCCTTGTTTTGCTTACAATTATTTTTTGTAAAATCTCCCAAATATTTACAACAATGTATTTTAATTATACATTTAGATATTTGCCATTATTCAAATATAAATGAAATGCCTTTTAAATATTATTTTGTTCTTTACACACCTTTTTGGTGACCGACATGCTTAATTTCATTGTGTCCCC